TGGACCGCTCGCCTTCCTCCCAATCCACGCAGCTGGACTATATGGTCCTGAATCGGGCGATCCACAGCTCAGCAACTACGCTATATCATCATATACAACTACACTATCCACGCTACTCGAACAATCCAAACCGCCCACCATCTCGCACTTCAAACTCTTATCAGTCATCCAGAAAGTTCCATGCGCTTATTCAACCTCGCAAACCGTTTTTTGGATCGATTTAATCGATTCCAAGATCCCCATGATGCTGAGGTATCCCTCAAGTACTACTCTGCTGCCGCAAGGTCGACAAGTGCCTCTGCGGCGGTTCGTTTCGACGCTGTAGAGTGGTGGATCGAGGTTGCATCCCGCGTCAATCATAGCTCCCTGTTAGCTGCATACGGATGCGCACTTGACCTGATGCCTCTTGTCGCTTGGCTAGGTCTTCCTATAGCAGATAGACACCAGCACCTTGCCAAGATAGGTGGAATTGCCCGAGACGCCGCAGCGGTAGCTATTTCGGCTGGGCAGTACGAGAAGGCTTTGGAGTGGCTGGAACAAGGGCGCTCAATCGTTTGGACGCAAATTCTCCACCTTCGAACCCCGGTTGATCAACTACGTGACGTCGACCCTGATCTCGCGGGCCGGCTACTGCAAGTCTCTCGGACATTGGATCGTGGACCCCACCCACCCGGATTCTCTAATAGAGGAGAGGCAGATATAGAAGAGGAAGGGCGGAAATATCGAGCACTGACAGTGGAATGGGAATCCATCATCGAGCAAGTTCGATCCCTCCCAAATTTTGCAAACTTTCTACGACCTTTGACCTCATCTCAACTGATGTGTGCAGCCCGTGCCGGTCCCTTAGTCATCTTCAATATAGCCAAACCTCGGTGCGACGCTCTTGCCCTCTTACCTGGACTTGAGGACGTGATCCACATCGCTCTACCAGATGTCACGCTTGAGCAAGTCACAGAACTGGGGAATGAGCTGAACAACCATCTATACTCCGGCGGAATCCGTATGAGAGACATACGGGCGGCCATGAGATTCAAGCATGAAACTGACGAGGAGAACTGCAGGCGAATACTTGCAGAACTTTGGAACAAGTTCGTCAAACCTGTACTGGATGGGTTGGCATTCTCAGTATGTTGGATTCTTTTATAAACAATTCATGTCATTAATAATGCCTACAGCCCAATCCAGATGTACTTCCGCGAATCTGGTGGTGTGCTACCGGACCACTCGCCTTCCTCCCAATTCATGCAGCCGGCATATATGAACTGGACTCGAACGAATCACAGATCAGCAACTATGTCATATCGTCATATACGCCGACCCTAACTACCCTACTCGAACGATTTAAATCTCCCATGAGCATCTCTTTCAGTCTTCTATCAGTTATCCAATCTTCTGCACCTGGTGCATTATCTATCCCTAATACAAAGAAGGAAATGGAAATCATTCAAAAACGCCTTGCTGATCGCGACCATGTCGTCCTCGAAGGCGAGGCAGGTACGAGGAGACGGGTGATAAAGGGCATGGAAGAGTGTAACTGGCTCCATCTAGCATGTCACGGGATCCAAGCACCGAGTGAGCCGACGAGCAGTGCACTTCTCCTAGAAGACGGCCATCTTACGCTCGAGGAAATCATCAAGCTCGACCTTCCTCAAGCCGAGTTTGCGTTCCTATCCGCTTGCCAAACCACCACAGGAGATGAGAACCTGTCGGAAGAAGCTGTTCATATCGCTGGCGGAATGCTCTTGGCTGGGTATCGGAGTGTGGTGGCGACGATGTGGTCTATCCAAGACGAACTCGCACCTCTGGTCACGGACGAGTTCTATAGGCATCTTATGGAAGATAGAAAGCGACCTGACCCTACAAAGGCAGCAGAAGCACTGCATGTATCAGTCCAAAAGCTTCGCCAACAACCGGGCGTTCGGCTTATAGACTGGGTTCCATTCGTTCATCTTGGAATCTAGACCCTCATAATGGTAAAATGGATCATAGATTTTACCCCAATGAATGTATATTCATCGATATCTGTATTCATGACATGCATTTTAGCGTATATGCGTCCAACTACCGCCTGAATCTGTGTTACTATAGTAAGAGCTTACAGCCTCAAAGGCCGTTGTGATAAAGCTCTTATATGTGGAAGAATAAGTTTACTGGGGAATCAAGGGCGTAATTGAGGGCCCTCGAATCATACAGACAGGCCTCAGCCGCTCGACACGAGAAGCCTCTTTCTTCTACAGCTACCACTTCCTGTTTAAGATATGATACAGTTGTCGCGACACAAAAGAAACAGGGAGCCGTCTTGAAGGTTGTATGCCTAGTGCTTTGAAGTACAATGTGAGAGTAAACCTGTCCTGTAATTAATTTTTTCTCAGCGATACCAATTATTGCATAGTACGTCAAATTCATCATTATCAATGAGCTTTTTTCATGGAGCACAGGGATAGAAGAGGAGAACGAGTTTGACTTGTATCCACTTGTCAACATGTTTTGGCCCCAGTTTCTATAGCCACTGCTTAAAGTCTATCCCACCGTTCCTATTTCAGTATTTAACAATGGTGTGATGGAACGCCGCGGTTCGAACGATTGGTGCTGCCGTATTCAAGGTCCTTTAGACACTGCACCATGACGCTCGGCAATCGAAATATGTACGATCATTTGCATTCGACGGACCTATATCAACAGTTGAAGCATGGATTCTCGTGAACTGCCTCGATCTCTTGATGTCCGGTGCGTCTTAGATTTCGTCGATAGTCCAAGGGAGCGAACCTGCGGCTTACATTTTGAATGAATAATTGATACCTTGGTGGTATCGAAAAATGAGAACTAGTTTATATGTCCAGCCGTAGTGTGTTTGTAGATCTGAATAAACTTCCTGTTTCTACGGATTCTCTCCCGGCTGAAGCTGGGTCTATATGATAGAATTACAATGTCGACCACATGCGATATGGGCCATTGTGAAAGCAGAAAAGAGAGTTAGCGGAATATACGGGAGGTCGAAAAGGTGTCGAAAAGACGAACAGCAAACCTATGGGATCTAAGCTTGGTGACATGAGCAATACTCCTTTCTTCTCCTCTATCGTCCATGTTTCTCATAGGAAAGAGATCTTGCTCCTAGCGGTTGCGTGGTAAAGGGTGTGATCATGTTGACGAATGGACGATGAAAAGGGACAGTGTCAACCTATTCTTTGACTCGTTCCCATTCTTGTGCATTTTAATGTTGATTCCGACGTCATTCAGGAGCTATTGCGGTCTGACGTCCGACAATAGGCAAAGCCGGGTCGTGGTCGAGTGTCAACAGGCGTCGGCGAACCGTCACCACCATCTTCACCGCTCACCAGGGCAAACCTCTGCACACATAAGTGTCACCTTTGTTGCTTGACACGAGTCTTCCCATTAAGATCCTGGAGAAAGCTCTCGACTGGTCCATTTATCTTCGTAAACTCTATCGATTTTTGGCATGTCTATGAGAATTTGCACAATTGGCACGGTTCTACATCCATGGCTGATTGATTGCTGTGCAGCTAGCGATATTTGTATTCTCTAATTCCATCTAAAGGCCAATAGTTCGTTTCCCCAAGTACATTCGCCAACTGCGATTCTCCTGCTTTGAAGACCTACTCGGCAGACTCCATTTTTTGGAAGCGCTCAAGTCGAATCGGACTCGTTGGTGTTGTTTCGAGAGTGTAGACAGGCGGGATATCGTAGTGGCCGGTGTCCAACTGGTCATCGACCATCTATAGAGCCAATCGAGGCGGAAATAAGGTGAACATGATGAGTGATAATGAACAGAGTTGTATTTAGGCTTTCGAAGAATGTTGTTGTCGATAAGGATCGAATTATGACCAGGGTTGTCGGCTCCGAGTTCGCCGACGGCCCCTGAGCCGTTGATCGGAGAAAATCAGAACGCGGTTCACCATCTCGGGGAATCGTGTGTACGAGAGACGAACTAGGTGTGATTATGATTACTCTGCATTGAAGAGATGAAGATAAACAGATGTCAAAAGGAGATGTCAACTTTTCTAAATAAACTTGCGTCTCCCGAACGCACAGTCCACAGGGGATACCAAGGCCAGTACTGTGCATAGTAATCTCAAACATGTACACGAATCCAGCATCTCTCTAAATTCATGTGTAAATGGGCAAGTAGTAGGTAGCTTACCGCCAAAATGAGTATACCAGTTCGAGCTGTATCGGTGCTCAAGGACATTCCGCCCTTGCAGTCAAATTTCCAAGTTTAAATGTGCATGGATTTTCTGCAAACTTATTCAACTCATCATTCGAGGGCTCCCGGCTGTCGTCCAAACTGGGCGATGCGCAGAGGCTGGTCTGAGACCAACCGACTACGCTTGGTCCTAACCATGCTCTGGCCTTCACACGCCATTACCCTTCTTCACAGCACGACCATAGCTATGTTATATAATACTATCAAAAGCATAATGTTGATAATCTATTTACATTACCTTATCTAGCAGGCGCGATTGTTACAGTACTGGACGCTACCATGGTGTGGTATATAGCTGTCCCGCCTGTGCCAGAAGCAAAGCATATGCTGCAACGCTTAAATGACCGTGCATTTGTCGGTCAATTCCCGGTTTTTTTTTTTGCCGATGACTCCTGAGAATCCCGTATTTATAATCATCGACTGGCGGTCCCCTCATCAAACCCAAGTTTCCCATTTGCAATCATCCCACTGCCATGAGGTGAGCTTTTCCTTCGAGTATAGTGTATATCCTTACGGGTTCTCCAGTGTACTTATTCTGAAAGGTGATCAAGGTCGTTTCTATGTGGTAGCCCAAGTACTAATACCACTTCTCGTCAGATACCACAGTCGAACCATCGACCCGTGACGACACCTTTCTCAAAGATATCACGCATCTCATCTTGGAAGCGAGTATCAATGGAAGCGTGGTCGACAAGGTCAACTTATTGCCCATAAAGTCGAATCTCGGGGTGTGGGAAGCCGATTCGATGTTGCTCATGTATGTCCTTTGCTTCTATCTATCCCGACGAATCATTTACAAGTCGTGCATACGGTAGACCGGGTGTAGCTACAGAGTTCATGATCTCCGTGATTATGGAGGCTGGCGGGAACGAGCGCCAAACGATCGCATTTGTGGAATTGAACGGCCTCGACTTATACGACACCATAATGCGCCAATATAGTAGGCTCATGAGTTATATGCACAGATAGGATCTAAACATGATTTTACGACAGAAATACTGCTGAGGAGCGATGCAAGCTATCCAAGCTTGGTTCTCAAGACTAGCGCAATAACTATCGAAAATGTCCAAGAATTACTTGGGAGACTTGGCTCAAATACCGCTCAAGGACGAGGAGTAACGCATAAAGAAGGCACCGTCGAAAGGATGCTCGATGACGCGAGGACAGCACGCCGAGACTTTGAACAGTACGGGAAGCTGGAACTTCTGGAGCAGGCAATCTCGCAATATCGACGTATTATCCAAGTCATTCCGGAGGGTGACCCAAAATTCCCTGATGCCTTGAATGGCCTTGGGATATCTCTCCGTATCCGATTCGAAGAACTCGGGTGCCTAGAGGATATCGGTGAAGCGATAGAGCGACACCGGATCGCAGTCACTCTCACCCCAGATGGTGATTTGGACAAGCCCGTTTTTCTGAGCAATCTTGGAACTGCCTTCGCGAGACGCTTCGACCACCGAGGAGACCTTGACGATCTTAATATGGCTATTCAACAACAACGAGCGAGTATTGAACTCGCACCCGCCATCGATCCTAATAAGGCCGTCTATCTGAATAACCTGGGAAGCTGCCTCCACATCCGATTTGAACGACTCGGAAATCTGGATGACTTGGAAGATGCAATCAGGCAAACGCAACAAGCAGTTGATCTCACACCAGATACTGATCCAAGCAGGCCGTCACGTTTAAACAACCTTGGGGACTCTCTCCGTGTGCGCTTCAACTGGTCTGGAAATCCATCCGACATTGATGGTGCAATTGCGCGAATGCAGGTGGCAGTTAGGCTCACCGTAGATGGCCATCCGGCCAAGCCAGGTTATTTGAGCAACCTGGGAAGTTCTCTCCATGTCCGTTTCAAGCATCTCGGAAATCCTTCAGATCTGGATAATGCAATCTTGCACCACCAACAAGCAGTCATGCTCACACCAAATAACCATCCAGCCAAACCCATGTACTTGAATAATCTAGCAAACTCCCTTTATCTCCGCTCCCAACGACTTGGAGACCGGGCCGATATCGATAGCGCAATCCAACAAAACCACCTGGCAGTCAACCTTACGCCTACTGGACACCATAAAAAACCAAATTGGCTGAGAAATCTCTCAACGAGTCTTTGTACAAGATTCGACCGGTTTGGAAGTATCGACGACATCAACAGTGCAATCGAACAAGCAAAAATGGCAGTCGATCTAACGCCAGATGGTCATCCTAACAAGTCTGATAGGTTGTCCGCCCTTGGAATCGCACTTTCGAAGAGGTTCAGGCGACTTGAAAACCTTGCCGACCTCGATAATGCAATTAAAGTTAAAGAACAAGCCCTTGAGCTTACACCAATGAATCATTCAGACAGGTCTGCCTGCTTATTCAATCTTTCGCTGTCTCTTGAGGACCGATACGATCGGTCTCACAATTCTCGTGATGCTGAAGTTGCCATCTCTTATCGCTCTTCTGCCGCGATGTCACCAAGTGGACCTCCTGCTATACGCTTCAAAATTGTAAACTCATGGATCGAGCTTGCATCACGCATCAACCATGACTCGCTGCTGACCGCGTACGAATGTGCACTTGACCTTATCCCGCTTGTCGCTTGGCTAGGTCTCCCCATAGCAGATCGACACCAGCGCCTCGCCAAGATAGGTGGAATCGTGCGCGACGCTGCGGCTGCAGCTATCTCGAATGAACAGTATGATAAGGCGTTGGAATGGCTAGAGCAGGGCCGCTCAATTGTTTGGACCCAAATTCTTCACTTGAGAACTCCAGTGGATCAATTACGCGAGGTAGATCCTCGCCTTGCTGACCGACTACTGCAAGTCTCTCAGCTACTTGACCTTGGATCTTCAGAGCTCGGCTTTCGTGATAGAGGAAACTTGGATATGGAAGAGGAAGGGCGAAAATATCGAGCACTGACGGCAGAGTGGGAATCGATGATCAAACAAGTCGGGTCACTTCCCAGTTTCGAAAACTTTTTACGTCCACCAAGCTTGTCACACCTCAAGAATGCAGCCCGAAACGGGCCAGTCGTCATTTTTAACATAGCCAAGACACGGTGCGATGCCCTCGCTCTCTTACCCGAGCTTGAAGATGTCATCCATATTCCTCTCTCCAATATCACTTCCAACAGAGTCACCGAACTTCGTGATGAGCTGAAGAACTACTTGTACTCGAGTGGGACTCGAATGCGAGACACGCGGGCAGCCATGAAATTCACAGATGAAAACGACGACAAGAAATTTAGGCAAGTCCTTGCTGAACTTTGGAGTAATTTAGTCAAGCCCGTTTTGGACGCATTGGCATTTTCGGTAGCGAATATTGATTTATATGCATTTCGTTCTATTGATATCGCTCGCAGCTTTATCCAGATGTGCTTCCACGGATATGGTGGTGCGCCACTGGACCGCTCGCCTTCCTCCCAATCCACGCAGCTGGACTATATGGTCCTGAATCGGGCGATCCACAGCTCAGCAACT